CAGTTTGGGGTTAGGTTTTTCCCCAAAGACCAAGCTACAAAGCAGGCTAAGTCTCCTAATGCCAGGGAACCACTGAGGCAGGGAAACAGAAATTAAGGCTAGCAGTTGACACCGTCAGGCCAACTCTCGTCCTTTCTGAACACTGGTGCGCTCCAGCCCTGTCTTTGAGCTCCTACCTTAGGCTGTTCTAAGTCTTTCCCGTCCTCTTTTTGATAGGGTTGCTTGCAGCAAAAGCATTCCACGGGAGCTATTTATTGTGTGCTTACAATGTGCGAGGCTCTGCAGGAGCTCAATAAAGAGGCAGACATAAATGTGTGGAAAATTAAATGGCAGGACTGAATGCAGAAAACAAAAGATGCCAGGGGGTGGTGAGTGATTAATTGCCAGAGGGTGGGGATAAAAACCTTCCCAGAGTTCCGAAGAAGCAGTGATCACCTCATGCTGGGGTGCTGAGTCAGGGACTGACTTGATGAAAAATTTTAGCATGGGCTCAGTCCAAACCTTTTCCCCCCTTTCCTCACCCTCCGTTCCCCTCTCCCCTGACCTTCTGGGTGTCTGAAAGTAGCAGTGTTTTCCAAGCAAAGTTCTAAGGAGTCATCAGCTGGGGGTTCAAGCTAAACTGGCTTCCAAAGAACAACAAGAAAGCTCAAAAAGGGAGCAGCTTTTGGAAGTAACAATTCCTTTTTACTTGATGCAGTGTCTTCGTTTCAGCAGAAGGCACAGAAAGTCATGGATTGCTACCTTTCCTTTCTTTAATGACTTCTATTCAAATAGAATCGAAATAATTAATCACTCTGTCTAATGCCAGCTGGTCACAGGTGGTCAGTGATGCTGCTGAGTCTGAACTAACCTGAGGAACTTGAGAAGTCATTCAAAAAGCCTTTACTCAGCCCCTACTTAGAAAACAAAGCAGACTCTGAACCTGTCTTTCTAGAACTTTAGTTTATTGGCAGAGAGAGAAGTAACAGGTAATTCACAAAGCAGTGTGTTTTGGTATCTACTCCTGTATAAAAAACATCCTAAAACACAATGGCTGAAGAAAAACCAAAGATTTTTCTTTCTCACGATTTGGTGGGTAGACTGGGCTTGGCTGGAAGCAGCTGCTTTCAACTGGGAGCTTGGTGGGGGCTGGAAGGTCCAAGATGGCCTCTCCATGGTCATGTAGTAGCTTACCTTGGGCTTCTTGACAGTGTGGTGGCTGGCTTCCAAGGGAGAATGTTCCAAGAGAATAAGCCCCAGTGTGCAAGTCATAGCAATCATTTGTTTGTATCATTTTGACTAGGGTTTCAATGGCCAAAGCAAGTCACATGACCAAACCCACAGTCAACATGGGAGAGAACCACATAGGTTATGAAAACCAGAAGATGTGGTTCTTTTGGGAGCCACCAACATAACAATCTTTCACAGCGTGTGAGTCCTAAACCAGATTTACAGGTCAAGGGTGACTTCCTGGAAGAACAGATGTTAACTTGAGACAGGAAGGATTGGTAGTTATGTCAGGGACATCCATAGTTCTTACCTGCTGACCAACCCCACAATTTGTTCTTTCTTAGAACACTACTTGTAAGATTTGTATTAAGTATACCAAGCATATAAAGTGATTAATTGTTTTCACAAGTGATTGTTTTCACAAGAATTAATCAACAGGCAGAAGAGAGACTCATGAACATGCTTTTCACTGGCTGATTAGACGCCACCATTCTTCTCCTACTTGCTCCTATCCAGGTTCCCAGAAATACTGACCCTAACTTGATTCTACATAGCATTTCCAGCTCTTGCTTTCAACTTTGTTATTCTGGCTTTCAACTCCCTCAAACTAGTTATATCCTTATGTTGATTGTTAAGCTTTAATTCTTATAAGATTTTGACTGCCTGATTTCTCAACTGATTTTTCTTGAGATTCTGGGAAACATGTAAATTCCACCAGGAATGGCTGAGAAGGAATTCTTGCACAGGTAAACACTACTATTGTGATTGAAACAAAGAGTAAGAGGGGGAGTCAGTCAAATGAGGGAGGAGAAGTAGACAAAATAGGAAGAGGGAGGGTCTCATAAGCCATTTTCATTTAGAACTCTATCCTGAGATAAACAGGAAGTCATTGAAAAGTTTTTAAAAGGGGAGTGACATGATCAGAACTGAACTTCAGAAAGACCACCAAGGCTGAGATGTGGACAGTGGATTGAGACAGAGAGATCTGCTAGAAGGCTGATGAAATCATCCTAGAGGGAGGGAGTGAAGGTCTGAGCGAGGTAGTGGCCAAGGTGGTAAGTACAAGTAGACAGATTTAAGAAAATACTTAGGAGGTGGGGGCTCTTGGGTGGCTCAGTCTGTTAAGCATCTGACTCTTGATTTTTGCTCAGGTCCTGATCTCACAGTCGTGGGATCAAGATACTGTGCTGGGTATGGAACCTGCTCAGGATTCTTTCCCTACCCTCTTCTCCCTACCCTCCACTGTTTGTATGTGTGCTTCCCACCCCCTCTCTAAAAAAAAAAAAAAAAAAAAGAAAGAAAGAAAGAAAGAAAGAAAAAAGAAAAAGAGATACTTAGGAGGAACCCTTGACAAGGTTTCCTAATTGACTGGGCACAGGACATGGGGGATTGGGTGAAGTTTTTGCAGACTTTGGTCTCCTGCCTGATGACTTGCCCAAGAAGATACCCTAAGTCTTACCTGTTCAGAGAGCAGAGATCAACACCACTTCTTCTTATAACTATCCTTCTGCTCCCCCAGTTATTTCCTTTTGTGAACTCTCTCCCTCCCTCCTTATTCGGTATTTGCTTTAAACTTGGAGTTTCTTAAACAAAACTTGTCTTTAAAATTACAATTTTTCTATAATAATACTCAAAGGATCTCCCAGAGATAAATCTGTCCTATCATGTCTATTTTAATCTTAAATAGTATTTTATCTCATTTTTCTGCCAAAATCAAGCCAAGACAAATTCAAGTGGAATTCCAAGATAAAGAAAAGCAGTAGAGAAGATGTCTTTTCATGGAGCCACTGCTAGCCTATATGATGCCTGTGCATTTCCAGAAAAGGCACTGATTCTGCTTGGCCCATGCAGCACCCTGTGATTTTGTTTCTGGGGCTTACAGCTGAGAATGCGACCTGATTTGATGAGATAGAGACCTCTGCCTTCTGTAGGGAAGACGGGTCTCCATGGGGTCTCACGTTTCTGCCCCTCTTGCCAGCAGAGGCACTGTCTTTTCAAGGATGCATATACAGCAAATAGCCTGAAAGCAAAGATAGCATCTCTGTCAAGAGTAAAAGGCAAGTTTGCTTACCATACAGTATAGAAAAGATGACTCCATCCAAAGCCAGTCAGGCAGGTTGGCTTGCTTCCCATTATAAAAGATGGGGATTCCCTAAGCACAGGGTTCCTCAACTGTGACACCAACCTGCTGCATGGGCAGCATCCACTGGACGTTTCCATGGAGACTTGAGAAGCCAAGGGAATTGCTGCTTAAGCAGAGAGCTCACGCTGCTCCTGTGCTGTAAAGACCTTTGTCTTGGACCAGGAGCCTCTTGCCTTCTGCCAGCATCCACTAACCAGTGACAGGCTAATTTGTTGGCTTGTTAGTAGAGTAAAACCTCCAATCCTTCAGACTACTCATGGAGTTTACATTCTCACTGGGGAAGAGCAAACTAGTAAACAAATTAAGTAACTAGAAATTGTCCCAGTGTCAAGAAAACAGATTAAGGGTTAAGATAGAGAATGTGGGGCATGGCAGGGCACAGAGACGGAATGGGGAGGGAAGACCACTCAGCACCATTCCAATGTCTACAAGAGGAGTCAGAACCACCATGTGAACAATGAGGCCCAAGGAGGCCAGGCAGAGGGAACAGCATACACATCCTAAGGTGTATGGGGCAAATGGAAATAAAGACCAATGTGGCTCCAGGAAGGCAACGAGAGCGAGCTGTGGTCTGAGAGGAGGTGAAGGATGGGGGCGTGGCATGATCACACACAAATCCTTGTGTGTCATGGATGGGAGTTTGGCCTTTTGCCAGAGTTTTCAAGCAGGGTATCAACTCGCCTGGTTGACCTCCTAGAAGGTCACTGTCTCAGTGGCACTTCGAGTGGCAGGGGAGAGGAGTGGAGACAGAATGGCTAAAGAAACACTTGGGGAGAGAATGTAAATAGCACGTGGTAATGCAGGGTGGTGGACACCAAGGCCAGAGATCTGGCCATCAAACACTGATGACTGGCCAGAGGGCTCTAGTTTTTAGAAACAAGCCCGACTCTTTAGAAAAGATTCAGGGTTGTAGAAAAACATCTATAGATACATTTTCTAAAGCTAACATTTCCCCAATGACTTGCAAAAATGCAATGGGTTTATCTCCAGTTTGATTTTCCCCTGGCAGTGCCTCTGAACACTCTTCTCTGACCACCCTTACTAGTGCCCTGTAGGGAAAAACTGAACGTGCTAGGGACACTGCCAGGAACTTACAAAATGAATTCTCCCTCCTTCATTTGTTTTGCAAGCTCTGAGAGCTGTGTTCTTCGGGGGAGAGCATGCAGGTTACTTAGGTGAAGCCTAGTCTATGCCATGAGTCTTGCAGGCTGACGGGGCACTTGGCTAGCCGCTCCGGCTCTCGCAGTGGCACCATCGGAACACCAGCTCTCCAGCAACGGGAACCAAGGAGCCCTGGTTTTTAATTGCCTCAGCTCAGAAATGGCACAAATCACTTCCACTTATGGTTCCCTGGCCAAAAGGAGTGCTCTGGCTTCCACGTACTGGCAAGAAAGTCTGAGAAATGTAGAAAGTGTTTGGGGAACATCATTTCTGCCACGGCTTATCTATAACACATTTAGGAACCAAAAGGAAGAGGAAATGACATGGAATTTACTAAGTGGTGCCTCCTCGGTGTCAGGCACCTTGACTTGTATCCCCATATTAATTTCCCGTTGCTCCATAACAAATCACCACAGACCTAGTACCTTAAAACCACACCCATTTATTTGCTCACAGTTCTATAGAGCAGAAGAATGGGGGAGGGGCTCAATTGGGTCCTCTGCTCGAGGTCTCCCACTAAGCTGAAATCAACATGCTGGCCGGGCTGGCCTCTTCCTTGGGGACTCTGGGAATGATCCAACTTGGAGCTCATTCAGGTCACTGGCAGAATCCAGGCCCTGCAGAGCAAGGATGGAGGGGTCTCTCTCAAGCCCTCTGGCCCTGGCTTCATGCTTCAGACTGCTCTGACTTCTCCTTTGGCTACCAGTCTGAGGAAACTCTCTTTTTATAGAATGATAGAGGAGAACTTGTGAGATTCTTAGGCTCTGGCAGTTCTCAAAAAGCTGGGTGGGGTTCTGCCCCCCTGCTTCTTAGGCAGAGCCCTTATAAACAGAACTGGTGGTGTAGCCAGTCAGGACTGGGGGCTCTGTCATGTTCTTAGAGCTGTCCAAACCTGAGCATGGAGCACAGGCAGCAACACTGCATCTGTGCCCTTGAGTGCTGTGGAAGGAAGAAAACCACTAAAACTCAGGGGTCATGTGGACAAGAACAAGGATCTCTCTGTGGCCACCTGCACAGATCAAGGACAAAGGCCCATGCTGTAGATTTTAGGAGGTACTTACATGAGCCGAGAACAGTTTGGGGGCACCCATTGGGTCCTTTGGTATAAGGTACGCTCCCTGGAACTTGATGTAAGCCACAACTTTAGGGAAAAGAAAAGGTGAGTTTCTATCATCCAGGATATAACCTGGAAACAGAAACCTAGTTGAGATGTAGACACATGGGAAATGCTATATTTCTTATATACCTTGATTTTGCAACGTCTATACAGGTATCATTACTGGGAGTCTTTAAGTTGTTGTCCACCTGGGAGGCAGGGAGCTCCCAAAGTCATCTCAACTGCACAGTGTACTCAGTGTCAAGCCCAGACAGAAAAGGGGCTTTTACTTAAAGGGGGACATTTATTCAATGTTGTGCATCCACTTGGTACTATTCAAGGCGGTGGAGATGTTGCAAGGAACTAGTCAGGCATGGAGTTTATATTCTAATGGGGGGTGAGGTCCAATAATAAAGTAAAATATGTAAATGTTAGATTGTGTGAAGTGCCGCAGAGAGAAATAAAGCAGGGCGAGGAGATTGGGAATAGAGAAGTAGATGCGCAATTTCCTACAGGTGGCTGGGGAGGCCTCACCTTGGAGGGGACATGTCAGTGTGACCTGAGGAAGTGCAGGAGGGAGCCTTGCAGATATGTGGGAGAAGGGCATTCCTAGTAGGGGACACAAGAGGCAAGGCCATGAGACAGGTGCACACCTGACATTTGGGGACGGGAGGGAGACCGGGGGTCTAGAACAAGGAGGACCACAGGGTAACTAAAGATGTAGTCACAGAGCCACCAGGGACCCCGTACTGTGTACCCATTATGAAGATTTTGGCATTTATTCTGAGCCACAGGGGGAGCTCCACTGGGATTTGATCTTTGGAAATTAAACAGGAAGAACCTGGGAGAAAACAAGGACTAGGGAACACAACCATCAGCAGCATCCTGACACTCTTAAAAACTAGGGTGGTACTTAAGACTCTAAGACCGCGATCTCAGTGTTTTGCAATATTTCACCATTTTCCCCTTGAAGAGATCATGCAATGACCAGAAAAATCACTGCCCAGCAGCACTTACACAAATGGAAACAAGCCCCTGCTGGTCCTCAGCAGTTGCAGAGGGGCAGCCATCTTGTTTAGACCCAATGGTCGCCTTGTGAGATAGATCCCTACTCAACAGGTAGCAGGGAGGGCAGGGTTCTCTTTCTTTCCATTTGATTCCTTCCCCAAAGGGCAGCAACCCTGCAGGGTGAGTCCTGGTAGAGGAACCCACTCTGGTAAGGGTGCCTCATTATTCCTCACTGGCTTTTTTTGGCACTTCCCATGAGGGACCCTGAGGCCTATTGCACTAGAAGGACTCTAGGACCTACCCTCCTCAGAGTCTTGCCAGGGCAATTTCCAGGCAGCCCACAGAGCTGTATTCCCTCAGGGGCAGGGCGCTCACCTTTACTTTGTGTGTGTGTGTGTGTGTGTGTGTGTGTGTGTGTTTTAAAGATTTTATTTATTTATTTGACAGACGGAGATTACAAGTAGGCAGAGAGGCAGGCAGAGAGAGAGGAGGGGAAGCAGACTCCCTGCTGAGCAGAGAGCCCGATGCAGGGCTTGATCCCAGGACCCTGGGATCATGACCTGAACTGGAGGCAGAGGCTTTAACCCACTGAGCCACCCAAGCACCCCTCACCTTTATTGTTGATGGGGTCCAGACCTGAGGCTGGTCAGGTGGTGTCTCCTCTCTCAGGGCTTTGGCCATCTGTTTAAGACAAACCAAGTCTTTGGGAGGAGGTGGAGGAGGGGAGAGGTCAAAGGTTGGAATGGTGTGGATCTGATCCTTCTGCTCTGTCTAGCTCCAGGAATGTCTCCTCATTGGTATTTCTCCCCTATCTCATTGCCATCCAGGGTTCTGGGTGAAGATGACAAAGGTGCTGTTTCTGGGTCCCACCCAATGCTGGAGCCACTGGAACTCCGACTATATGTTACCCCTCATCCAACAGCTGAGCCCTAAGTAACTCTGTAGACCATGTCCAAGGTCTTGCATGGCTCTGTCTGGACATGCTGTGGCCTCCATGTATACATACCCACAGTCACGGGGATGAGTATCAACTGGGCTGTATAGTGTCACTGTCAGCAACACCTGTGCACCGATTCAAGTGTACCTTCTAGAGCTTGCTACTTTATACCTGTTACAGAACAGACAGTGTTCCCCCGAAATTCATATGATGAAGTCCTAACCTCCCAATGCAACTACATAAGGATTAGCGCCTTTAAGAAAGTATTAAGGCTAAATGAGGTCACAAAGGTGGGCTCTTAATCTGATATGACTGGTGTCCCCATAAGAGGAGGACAGGATAGCAGGGAGGCAACTGCACAAAGAGGACATGTGAGGTCACAATGACAAGGTGACCACCCATAAGCCAAGGAAAGAGGCCTCAGGACAGGCCAAACCTGTCAACACTTTCATCTTGAACTTGTAGCCTGAAGAAGTGGAGAAAATGAATTTCTGTTGTTCTGCCTCTAGTCTGTGGTATTTCATTAAGAACACCCTAGAAACTGTTAGAATACTCCTATGTTTTGATGATGGGGATACAGATACACGGTGAGATTGGGGGGGCACTGTGGGGAGAGAGAGGAGGTGAGAGAGAGAGAGGGAGGGAGAGGCAGAAGGGGGAGGCATTCTATTCTAAGACATCCTCACTTTTTAGTAAGACAGATCTGGGCTGCGAATGAAAAGCAGGAAATGGGACGAAATGCTGTTCAGTTTTATCATGACCCCACAGGATCTCCAATCTATGGATTGCATCCTGTTTCCTTTCCTTAATTATCATCAGGAGCCTAATACAGGGCCAACTGCTCTCCCATAGCCTCGCATTTGCCAGGACAAGACTTCTCTAACTGGGAGCTTATGCAATTCTCACTGCGGCGGGGATGCCCCACCACCCTCAGCCCTCGGACAAGTCCTTATGCTTAAGCCCCTACTTTTCTCACTGAAGTTGGAAACACTGGCATTCCAGGCAGGCAGTGTTAAGCTGGGACTGGGCACAAATAGCTCTCTGCATTGTTCAACCAGAGCACAGCTCCACGTGCCTTTTAAAAATAGCAGCACTGCGTTTGAAATTTTCAAGAGTAGACACGTAGGGTGTGTCTGTGTGTGTCTGCCACGCCCTCCTCTGTGTTCCTTCTAAGGAGGTGCAAAATTAGAACATTTCCGAAGGGAAAGGGGAAGGAAAGACCATGAACGTGTGGCTACGCCCACACACTCCCCCTTCACCTCGCTTCCCGGTGAGGCTCTCATGAGGCACACGGCCTAGAGACAGGGCTCTACTAAGAACTTGTCTTCTCCAAGCTACTAGCATGGACCCATAGGGGAAATCACGAGAAAATAAATGTGTAGACTTAAAACTCAGCCTTACTGATTAAAATCAGTTGAAAAATGCAACACTGAGAGAGAGAAAGAGGAAGAGAGTAGAGTGATTTTATAAATGGGCCAGAAACAGCAAAGGCAAAATCTCTCCTGTCCAAGCCACCTCAAAGCCACGAGGCCACCTTGGCACAAGAGCAGGAGTGGATGCGGGCTGCAGGAGGGCAGGCTCCAGTCTTCCACCCTCCCCTGACCCTGACGCAGCTGGTCATAGGTCTGTACCCAGCAAGGGGTATGACTCCAAGTGAGAGGACCCCAGGCGTTTGGACCCTCGTGAGCAAAAATAGTGGTGCTTGCAAGTGGCAGCTGAGATAGTTGGAATTGTGATGAGAAATTCTAAGAGGGCCACTTTCAGGGGATCCTGTGGGTGGAGGTGGAACAAACCCTCCATGCGGGGAAAGAAAAATGTTTCGAGAACCCTGTCATTCCCAACCATCAGCTCCAAGTTCCAAACTGAGCAAAATTTGCCTTGGAGAATGAAAAGAGAAGCTCGGCTACAAACCCCGTGTCCAGGGTGTAGCTGGCATCAGGCTTTGAGACCTTTCTACGAATCAGGCCACCTGCAGCACCAGCTGCCACCAGCAGCACCGCAGCTGCTTCCAGAAGCAGCTCTGCTCATGCCCCAGATGCTCCAAAAGGACCTGTCTTCTGCTGTGGGTCCCTCACACGACAGACATTTTACCAGAGGCCAAGGCCTAACTCCTGCATGTGTTCTGCTGCCATTTGAGCCACTTTTCCTCCCTTCCTGCTTCCTGGTGCTCCCTCTCTTCTGTTTTCTACACAAGGCAGCCATTATTGAGCACGTACCCGCAACTGCATACTAGTCCACGTCAGGAATTGAGGAGACCCTCAATCATCGCAACTGCCCTCAAGAAAGAGACATTATCCTCCATCACAGAGGAAACAATGGGGGGCAAGGAGAGGTGCCTACACTGGTCTAGACTGTACAGCCAGTTAGGATCAGGACAGGAGCCCTGCACTGTCCCGCCTCACAGGCCTGTGCTTCTCCAAGCCTGCGCTGCTCCCCATATCCTTCTCGCCTGCTTGTGGCATCAGGACCATGTGGGGATGGCTTTGGCAGAGTGTCCTAGGCAAAATGTCAAGATGGCTGCAAGATTTAAAACCCTCACCCGTAGATGTCCAAACCAGAGCCTGCTGCCCCCTCCCCCAGCATGAGACTCCCCCACAGGCCCAGCATCCCACTTCCCCAGGGCCCTTCTCAGTCAACAGCACCACACACTGTAAGCTTTTGGTGGAAGGCAAAGTAACCCCTCTTACAAGAAGGTTAGGGACCTAAGGCTGGTTAGTCACAAAGGTCAAATTGGCCCCAGGGAAAAGGGGACAACATCTTCTCCAAAATCAGACAGAAAGCGGACTCTTTTAAGTACATCGTTTACAAATCTCAGCAGAAACTTGGAGCTTCCACATGGGAAGAAAACCACCTGGAGCTAGCCCGTCTCAGACACACTGCTCATGTCCACACTGAGCCCCTTCATCAGCCCCCAGTCCCTCCAGCCACTGGCGGGCCCCGGACACAGGGCATGGCTGGCCCTGGCTGGGGAGGTCTCTGCACACAGCTGGTCCCAGCAGGCTCTGCTGAGAAAGCATCAGAGCCCAGGGTCCAATATGAGGAGGAATCCAGGTCAGGGTTGGGCCCTGAACAGAGCTGAATTGTTAACCCTTGCAGTGCTGAGTTTCACATGCACCAAACTCTGTAATGGTCAGCTCCCCAGAGCACAGTGTCTCCCCGCCAAAAAATGTCGATTTGTATACTTCCTTTACACCCCCCCCCCAGCTTATTCCCTAATTTTGCCCACCATCTTCTTAAAATATGCAAAAACTGCTTTGGGTGACTTCCCAAAGTAGACAGGAGGGGAGTTAAGCCCAGTTTAACTGTGGGATTAGTGTTACAATCAGATCCTGTGGGAAACACAGTGATTTCCTGCCCTTGCTCCGGCTGCAGAGCCCTCTCAGGTTGCAGGCCAGCACTTGGGGCAGCCTTTGCTTCAGAGCAAAGGAAATGCAGAGAAGGGAACAGGCTACTCAGTTCCTGGGGGCAAGTTTGCAAAAGATAATAACCGTTTAAAGCCCTGGAGGAAAAAGTAAAGAGAGGGGTGTATATGGAGTGAGAGGTAGAGAAAGGAAAAAGACAAGGGGAGGAAGGAAAGGGGTGGGAAGGGCTTGGAGGAGAGGAGATGAAGAGGAGAGGGTAAAAAAGAAGGGGAGGAGAAGGAAGAGAGGGAAGTAGGGAGAGGAGAGGGGAGGGGAAACAAGAGACTGGTCTGTCCTCTCAAAACCAAGGTTTTCAGCACCCCAACCAGAGCAGTTTCCGGGAGCCAGCAGGAAGGGTTAAAGCTCTGCAGGGCAGGAGCAGAAGGCTTGGCAGGACCAGCACCTGGCTGTGTTTGTTCAGGAGGCCTGCTGCCTCCCGCAAGCTATGCATGGGTTGCACACGATTATCAGCTGGCTGGAGGATTTGCTCCGTGAAAAGCAGCAGCTGCTCCTGATTGGACTTTGTTCAGGTTCCCCAGGCAGAAAACCGAGATGTCAAAATTCATGAGCATCTCTCTGGCTCACTAGGTGAGACCAAAAACGGAGCACTTCTCTAGGAACTGCCACCATGCTTGTGGCTAAGGAGGAAGCAGATCAAAGCAAACGAACACTTTCTTTAAGAAAAACACCAGCTGTAAGGATGGTTACCGCCTGGGTGAGGGCAAGCCACTCTGACCCAGGGGACTGGACAGCAGGTCTATGGCTGTGGTTGACACAGAAATTTTTCAATGACACGGTCCACCTGACCTGCTGAAATGAAGCGATGTCATTCCAGAAGTACTAAGACATGCTTTTCTGGGGGCTCCCGCTGTGTTTCTGGCATTTCATATACTGTGTTGGGATAGACGCAGAGAAATTTAGAATTTTCTGAGTAATGAAAGAAAGGCCCTACTTAAAAAATATCACTGTAACTAACGCTGTGATGTGAAGACTGATATCACAACAGTATTAAGAAAAATAGGACTGCCTTATCTAAAGCTTTGCTGCTTCCTTTCCAAGCCATTACTAAGACCAGAAATGAAATGGACTCCCGGTGACTTTAACCTTCATAAAGTGTGAACTTGGCCAATCTGTTGAGCAAACAGCACACAGTTATGGTCAGCCTCTGGCTGGGTGTTACTGGGCAAACATCACAGAAGTAGGACACTTGCTCCCAGGTCACAAGACCTTCTGTGCTACAGCCAGAACAGTCCCAGGCAAAGTGAGACAGCTGGTCACCCTTGGTATAACCCTCAAGGGGGCCCTACGCAGGCATTCCTCTACTCTCTGCCTAATCAAGTCTGGCCCCTGTGTCAGGGCTTAGTTAAGTCTGTCCATTCTCAGTGCCTGAATCTCAGGGATTTCCCCTCAGAGAATATCCGTGACACTATGATCTACCTCAGTGCTCTCCCACTTGGCACTAACGACATGTATGCTCATATGCCCTGCTCTTCTGGAGATTCTAGCCTCAGCACCAGCACCAGCTTCTCAGAATCCTAGCCCCCACCCCAAATCTGCATGTCTAACAAGATGCACCAGAGGTTGGCCTCCATGCTGGAGGCACAGTCCTCTCTCTTCCTCCAACTGATCTGAAAGATGGTCTTATTTCTCCCAACCTGGGTATCAACATCTGCACAAAATGAGGGTCCATCTTCTGCCATGCTAGTCACACAGTGGATGCTGGCGTACCGTCCATGCCTGGATTGGAAAGTAAATTGGCCAAGTGCTATGGGGAAATTATATCATCCTCTTTTCTTCCTCAGCCTCCATCACAATGCTCCCTTCCTGTTTCCAGCTGCTTCACAGCCTCCTCTCCCTGGGCACACCTTACTGTTTCCTATGGGAGTTAATCGACCAAAGAAGAACACGGGCACAAAAACACAGTGTTA